AAAAGAAGTCAAACACCTATATTAAGAGACCACTCCCTTTAAGTTTCACATTTTAGTTTAGCAAACTCTGTAAATTTGTTGGAGTCTAAAATTGGTTGCAGATTCATCAGTAACTGGTCTGTTCAATTTTCATGGATCTTCCATAAACAATGTTGAACAGATTCATCAGAAGCATATGAGTTCTGACACATGACTCACAAATCAATCAATGTCGTTACAAGCTATTTATTATCTCTTTACATACTAATTCAAGGGAAAAAATATCCAATGCAGTGTCAAACATGCATTAAATCTATTAGATAAGATGGAACATAAAACAAATTAACCATTTTTTAAATAAACAATGAAAGAAGATACAAACCAGAACAAAATTCAAACTTGTTCTTCAAGGATATCCAAATACAAAAGGCCAAAGATTATAGTTAATACCTTACAAACTTCTCTCGCTGACCATCCATATAATGGGATTTGTAACCACAATCAAACATTTTTTGCAGTTGAACACATAAATACCCCTGCAGACCAAGAAACAGAAATTAATTAAAACAAAACATCAATTGACATAAATTTCAAGGTTCAGTACGTGGACCACCACTTAAGGTTGGCAGTTAAACCACAACCCAACATGTAAATATCAGCTTGAACCTCCTTACGCCACCGCCTTACATTTTTCAGAAAACTTAATGGACTACGATGGTAAGCATGCAAATTAAGTTCACTCTACACTGCCCAAGGTGTTCTCTTAATCAAGCATAACGAAGACTCCAACAGTGAAAAATGATCCAAGTTTTACAACACCATGGCTATACACCAACTCACTGTTCTGACTCCACACTGAATTTCCAAATATAAATGCTTTCTCCAAACTGAAATCAACATTAAAAAAGGAAAAAAAAAAAAAATTACACTCCATAAAAAGCAAGCCCCTAGCAAAACCACACTCTACACAACTACCATCACAACTCACAAGTACTGCATAAAGATCAGGGTTTCGTGACTTAAAACATTAACTTAAACTACAGATATAGAGATACCTTGAGTTTGGAATACTAATGTAACTTTTGGATTTAAAACCAGTTTGTATCCCATTTTTAAGCAAAATTTAGAGTCAGAAGAGAAAAAAAAATTAAAAAAAAACCCAGAAATAAACCACGAAAAACCCGAACACAATCTTATTCAGAAGTCAAAAACACTTTTCACTCCCGTCTCATCTCCAATCCCCATTACTAAAATAACCCTCTTCACACACCCATCAACCGCCTTCCTAAATTCTCACTTCGCATTCCTTCACTCCACTTTTTCCCCAATAATACACTACACAAAACCTCTTAAATCAAACAGATCCCCAAAAATTAAAAATTTCATAACAACTGACCCTTCATCCCCACTTCAACATTTCATCATTTCCAAATTCTGTTTTCAAAAACACTGGAAACATCAAAACTTCCTATACCCTTAACTCCACACTTCCACCACTAAAATTCACAACTTAAGCCGAAATAATCACACCAAATTTACCAAAAAAACAAACCAAACCAACCGACACGGTTTCAAAGTAAACTAATTCACTTCCAGATTCTAGTCTCGAATACATAAAATTTATACAAAAATGATAAAACATATCGCGAATTAAGCATACAAGCATCAAAATTGAAGCAAAAAAATTCAGAAAAAAGAGCAAAAAATTAGTGATCTAAGGGAGATGAAAAGAGAGAGAAACTTACAGAGAAGTAAATTAAATGAAGATTTAGTACATGAATTAGAGGAAAAAATTGAGAGATTCGTACAATTAGAAGAAGACGAGACTTTGAAGAGAAATAATGAAAATTTTGAAGTCAAAAAAGGATTTTTTTTTACGAAATTATTAGACGGAAAAACTGAAGGGGTCAAACTTTTGTAATGACGGTTTTGCCCTTGTGTCCGGTTATGGTTGATCTAGTTGGCTTGGCGGGCGGCATATTTTTTCCTACTGAGATTGATTGATGGGTAGTGGGCCTTAGGATTAGGCCCAGCCGGATCCCATAACGACCCGTTTAATTTTACTATGGGGGTTTTCTTAAATCTCAACCATCAAATAATTACTTTTTTTTTAAATAACATAAATTCTCTTTACGTTATTATGTAGTTAGCATTTATAATATGATGAGTTAATAAATATTTACGAAATTGCCTATATACAGTTTATTTTAACACAACAAATTTAACAGGCAAAAGGATATATGTTATTAATGCAACCACAGGGGCATTTTTGTTATTTAATAATACCTAGGGGGAATTTCTTTAATAATCCTTTTATTACTTTTTGTTGGTAAAGGTTATCCTAATAACACCGTTGAGATCATTGTATGAATATTGTTTATATTATTTAAGATATTTAACCTATGTCTATATTTTTGGGTCATAATTGGATCATAATCAAAAGATTAGGTGATTTGGTTGCTTTTCAAAGGTGCTTATAAGATTTAAACAAATTATTTTACGGCTTATAGAAGAAGCTTAGAATGTTGAAATTTCAAAAACATTCATCTTCTATTTTATAACTTTAACTTGATTGATTATCGTATATTAAAGCCTCTTTTAATAAATTAATATTAGAAAGCTCTTTTACGTTTTCTTAACCAAACAACTAATAAAAATTTTACCGAAGTTTTACTCTTATAAGCTTATTCCATAAACTCTATTCAAATAAGTGGTATCAAATAGATCGTAATAAATACCTAGGTTAGATTTTTAGAGATCAAACTAGTCATCTACTATTACGATGACGATTACCTAGTAACATTACCAAATTAGTGAGTGTATGTATATATATATATATATAATATGAAGTTGTTGGACAATTAATTTGTTATGCCTCAAAAGTCAAGCCTATGTCAGCACAATTAAAGTCTCTCTATACCAGTTGTCAAGCCCATATCTCCAAAGATATTCTCACCAACTTTATCTCATTTCAAAGAGATGAATGGACGAGAGCCTTCCATGTGTCAAGGCAGCTTGAAAAACACTCATTACATTGAGTGCAAAGGTGTAAAAAGGGGCAGTCCTCTTCCCAGAGGAGGAGGCTGGGCTGAGATTGGAGCTTCATTTCTTTCTCTGTAAAAACACTGTATTTCTTCATCTTTATATGTCTTACGGGCAAACTCATAGAAATAGTCAGAGATCAATAAAATAACAGTGGATGTAGGAGTCGCTTGTTGCATCCGAATCACTATAAAAACCCTCCTCTTGCCAATCTTTTATTTATATTTTCTGCAAAATATATAATCTCAGCTCCATATTCAAATCTCATAGATCCATCACGTGTGATTCCTAAGTCCGCTTAGCGCTTCTCACGTGCGAGTCGTTGGCGTCCAAAATCAAGCGTCAACATAATTATAGTACATTATTATTTATATTTTCATTGAAACATGGTCATGTGCAAATTGAATTATAGTACTTTGTACTTTCAATTTCTATTTAGATTAAGTGCTTTCATCATCATAACCATAGCTTATTTATTATTGATTCGTGGGAAGGATGTACTCTCCGATACAATCATATAATAAAATAAATAAGTTTACTAATTGTATCATATATTATACATAAATATTTTAGATTAATCATTTTTAAGGATATAAACGATTGTGGACATTTTATTGCCAAACCCAATTCGATTTATTAAATATTGGTATGGCGGTGTTATTGTATGGTATTGGTATCATATAAAACAAGTGAAAACGAGAAAAATAACCATAATTTTGGGAAATTTTAGAAAATTAACTTCTTTCAATATTGAATACTTTCAAATATCTAAACGTTATGGTAAAATAACGAGTAAATAAGATCGTTGACACACTCAAGAACCATATTTTCTAAACAAACCCAACTTAAAGTTGAAATTGATGTTAGGAAATATGTGCATTGGTTAATCAGATAGTACATATATGCCATCTATGTCAATATCAAGCTCTAACATTTTTATGCATATATGTACATCCTTTACACAAATTTTCTCCCTCAAATTAAGGAGAATTCTCAAATCATTCTTGCTTCAATAAGCATCAACATCCTTTGTGGGGTCAAAATTCCAAGAGCGTGCATTGGTAGGTCTCTTGAAAGAGACCATGAGAGTCATATGCATAATAAATAAATAAAGCCAAAGCCAAGCCACTTGTTAATATGAATGCCAGCTAGATTAGCAAGTACTGCTCAAATGAGGTGGTCATCTTTTATAGGATAAGGGCAGAGTGCTAAACACTTTCTCATGTTGTTGTTGGGAGTGGGTTCTTATCATTGTCCAACATTTAGGTACAGGTCAACATTAGATATGACGTTTGATGTTCTTGAGATTATTCTCCATATATTTAATATTAAACATGTTTTTCACGTAATCTTTAATTAACACCCATTTTCTAAGAATATATACATGAGAATTATAAGAAAATTCAATGAAATTATAAAGAATTTATCAAAAGTTGATAAAATTATATGTGTTCGACAAAATGGGTAATAGAATTTTAGTGCAAATAATCCAATCCGATTCATGATTATTATATTGCAAAACAAAAATCCTAAGTGGTGTTATGGATCCAAAGATCTTCTTAAGCTTCACTAATTGTTCTTCCATCACCATTAAGACTTAATCGTGCCCTAAGCGTGATGAAGAACAACATTCCACTTTTTTTTTTGAGCAATACTACACTTATAACCAAATCTCACAAACTTTTTCTCATAACCCTAATGTGATAATTCATACTTGGTTTTTGATGAAGTTTTTTCTACCTGACTAATTGTAAGCTGTCATGTCAGAGTTGTGAAAAAGAGTTTGTAAAATTAGGTTGTAAGCCAATATATATATATATATATATATATTTTTTTTTTTTCTTTTTTTTTTCCTGAAAGCCTCACTTGATCTTCGGTAACATAACTATGAGATCGCTATAACAAAATAAGTAATTGTCAACTAGTGTTAAGTTCAAATCAGGCAGAGCAAAATTTTTGTTAAGAATATTTCCAACAAGTATGGTTGAATGGAAGAAATAATTGATTATTAGATGCCAAATTAAGACAGCAAAATAAAAGCCGATAGCCAATTGCCAAACCACATGTCGCGTACCGGAAGAAGGGTCTGCCGATTCTAACGATGATTTTGAAATGTGATGCACATGGCTTAGCTTTGGCAATATGCAACCTACAGGAAAGATCAAGAACGATATAAACATGTTTTGTTCAGTAAGAACATAAATGGAACTTTGAAGGAAGAAATTCTAATCCAATAGCAGATGCGTTCTTAAAACAGGATGAATAAAATATGCGACAAAACAAATATGTAAAACCAAAACTACCAACAATCAAAATCCAGAGTGTTGTAGAGCATGAGCGTTAGATCGTAAGACATTTGATGTATTTCACGGATTAGGTTCACATATAAAAGACCATAACTGACTTTGATGGGACTTCAATTGTCCATACGCTCAGAGAGTTAAGAAAAGATTTCGCAACAAACAGTTACTTCTGAAGATATCCAACACATCTTATCATTACTTGCCCCTTATGCCTCATTAAGACAATGAAAAAAAACTCCCTTTCCTGTGACGATTATGGAAATCTGGAGTCTAACATGTTAATTTCATGACAAACCTTTGGTGATCTAATAGTTTATCTGCTTTTAAAAACTAATCACTTTGTTTACACGATGTTCACTAATTAGATATACAAGTGACATGTTGACAGACAGCAGAAGCAAGTGCAGTACTATATATTCTGTAAAACAGGCACCTATTTTGATTAAAATCATGGCAACAATAAAGCAAGAGAGCAACTGTTCTTACCACTCAGATCATAATTCTTCAATCCATACCAAGGAATTAGGTGTTGAGCTGTACGAAACATAGTTGATTTGCAGTGAGTCTTTCAGCCTTGAAGACTGAGTGTATCTGCAATAGTTTTTCTAGCTTCGCTGCACATTACATCTGGATTTCTTCCTTGTAAAGGCTTATGAATAACGACTTTGACAGATCCTGAATTTAAGATACCCTCCATTCCACTGGGCATGATTTTGCCAGTTCCCATAAGGGTCATAGGTACTACCGGGACTCCAGTTTTTGCTGCAACACTGAACGCACCTTTCTGCAGCAAGATAAAACAAGGAATTTCATATAAACAAAAGGGTTTTATATTTACCCAAATTTATTGTAACATTATTTTCTCATGTTTAAGTTGAAGAGAAAGAGGACCAAGGGGGAGGGGAGATAGCGAGAGTGCAAAGAGTGGAGAAAATGGATGGAAGAAACTACAAATTCGATTGTTATTTAATCAGAATCCTATTTACTTCTATCACCATAATGACATCCCTTGCTAACAAAAGTCGGATTAGCGCAATCTCTTTCTGGCTCTTGATTTTCAACAGCAAAATTCCGAAACCTCAAAAAGAAAAGAAGATTCATAAATGATGCTATAATGTATTAATGCATGTTGAAGTGTATGCATTAGTTGTGATCTTACTATAGGCTTAAACCATGTTCCTATTAGTTGTTGAGAATACAGAACAAACAAATTCTTCACTTTTGTTAAGGGTTCTCAACAACCAAGCATGGCACATGAGTTTCCATTATTGGCTTCTATGATCATATCTAATCACGCCACACGGATGATAGAACAACATGACCTCACCTTGAAAGCACCTAATTTTCCATCTTTACTCCGTGTTCCCTCTGGGAAGAAAAATACAGAGGCCCCCTTCTTGATAAGATCCATGCACCTCTTAAGGCATTCCTACACCAAAAAGCAAATAAAATTTCAAATCAATGGGGGTTCAGCAGTGAAACAAAACCCTTACCAGAAAAAAACATATGAAAAAAAAATAAATCACCTTACCAGAAAAAAACATATGCAAAAAAATAAATCACTACTACATAGTTTGGAAGGTCAGCATCTATTATGAAATAAATAACTAAAACTGAATCAGTTAAAATGGGAATGAATAGTGAATACCAGCTGGCTTTTGCTGTCCATGCGTTTCAAGGGAATGACACCCATCATAGACATGGCCCAACCAATAATAGGAAAGAGAAATATTGCTGTCTTGCTTATGAATTTGAAGCTTCTCCCAAGAGTGAGAAGAGTGTATATGTCTAAAAAGCTCTGGTGGTTGGAAACATATACAGCAGGAGCACCAGGTGGAGGCAGATTCTCTAAGCCCTCAAACTTGATTCTGAAAAATAGAGAAACAGTTAACGTCGCCCAAACTTTAGCAATAAAGTGTTGAAACTTTCTTTGGTATCGATCCAGCAAGAGCACTAATGGATGTGCCACCAGCATCGGCCCAATCAGCAGGATGGCAGCTACAGCAGTTACAGCATAAAAGCTTATTCCTCTAACTTTTGAGCCCAGTTTAACTTCTGCACTTTAAAAGTTTGGCGAAAATATTTAGTCAAAAGGCTGGAAATTCAAAAAAGAAAAAATAGGATGGAAAGGGTGAAATAAAATGACTGAAAAGGATTCGCAAGCAAACCTGATAACGCATAGGCAGAATTGGGAGCCCCATTTCCCGCAAGTTCAGATCTCACAAGAACAGATCTGGACAACTTCTTATAGTTATGCAATTTAAAATCATAATATGGTCTATTGAGGTTCCCCCTTTTTAAATCGCTATAAGCCCATAACACACCAAGCTTCTTCCTAGGCATGCATAGAAAGCCATTTTGAGCAGCTTTAAGAAAAAGAAGGAAAAACATCTCATGAGACTAACTGAACGAAGGAAAAATACTATATGGTGTTTTCATAATTTATAAATATATTATATATAAGGAAAAGTAAATACAGGATCTGATAATCATGAATATTACATGAATTATTATTCTCATTTCACTTCATCCCTTTATTGAGAATATATTCGTTTGCTACTGTTATATTGGGTTGCTGCTGTGTGCATTCGTGTGTGTTGTTGTAAGAAAGTGCAGGTTGAATCTGGGATTGTGTGTGAAAGGGAGGTATTCATCACAAAGCTACAACAGATCATTTTCATATACATATGGTTGCCAATATGAGCTTAAAGGGAGACCACATTACAAATATTTTCCCACAATATCAAAAGTAACTTTATTCTTTCATTTAACACACGATGAAACTATACATGCAATGAGATGCAACATTTGATCTGTCATAAATTGGGCACAACACAAATGAGGTATAATCAAAACTTTGTTCCAAATAGTAAAAAATTAAATGCAAGTAAAACCATATGCAAGAAATTAATTTACTTACAACTGTATGAACTTCTCAAAACTGCATGTTTATATGAAGAGGACACAAGAGATTGTCCTTTATAAGCGCACAACTGCACAAATCCAAAACAAATTTTCAGTCAATTTATAACAGGATAGAAGCCAAGGAAATCTTCAAAGTTCTGAGATTTGAGAAACCTATTCAAGGCAGAATGTAAAGCAACATAACAAAATCAAATCCAATCCGCTTGAGTTAGTTTTAGTTGGAGGTCTATATGGTCAGATATCTATATCGTCTCCAAGTATGATGCAATACCATGACAATAAACTTAGATGGGACAAGCATACAACATCATTATGCATTCAACCAAATGATGAGAAATATTTACGTGAGATGGTCTCATCACCTCATTTTGCTGATATGATAAGCTTCCAATGAAATAGTTCTAACGGTCTCAAATTGCCACATCATCATGGAAGATATTGATAAAATCATGGTGCTAGGTTACCGGACAGACATACGGATGACATAGTACTCCCGTCAGCATAAGCTTTTTCCACAAATTTTATCAAACTATTGGAAATACTTTTCCATCTTTATTTAAAACTGTTCATCATCATTCATCTGGAAAACATGAGTAAAATTTCCTTAAACCTTAATATCTAATTACTTAACTTTGATTCTTTGAATTAGTCTACTGCTCCTCCCAACAAACCTTCTAAAACTGTTAGATAAATAAACTTGATCAAATATTCTGTTTGCCTCCTGAGAAAATACATCAAAACAAAGACATGAAAAAAAAACAAAAAAACCATATATTCTCCTCACTCTCGTTGAATCTTAATTTTTCTAATCAAATTTACATATAAACTAGCATCGATAATCAGCGTAATAAAACTAAATTTACACATAAACTAGCATCAACAGCGTAATAAAACTAAATTTACATATAAACTAGCATCAAAATCAGCGTGATAAAAATCAAATTTACATAAAATTTAGTACCAATAATCAGTGTAATAAATTAAAATTATTAAAAATAGAGAAAAATACCGTACATGCGAGGACGAGGTAGAGAGATTACGCAGATGAAACGGCGTCGTAAGTGAAGGATAAGCAGCAGCAGTAACTTCCATGTCTCTGTGCCGTATCTATCTCTGCTTCTGTGCTTTTCAAGAAACACGATTATGCGAATCTCCGTGTTAATACTGTTTCATCCTCAACATTTTATTCCTTTTTTTTTTTTTTAATTATTTTAAATTTTTAACCCTTTTTATAAACGACAGAGACTTGCAAATTCTATAGAGCGTGAATAACCAACTCTCACCCTTCAGCCACTCACTCGCCATCTCTCCCTCTTTCTTCAAAATGAAGACCCGGTAACTCAACTAACTCTACTAATATTATTATTAAATGCTAACTCTCACCCAATTTTGGAACTGCTACAATTTGCAACTGCTGCTGCTGCAAATCAACTGCTGCTCTGCTGCAATTTGCAGTAGCAGCTTGCAACTACCGTAAATTGCAGCAGACATGCACCTTCAATCTAAGTAATAAAATTCAATCATACATAGCAATCAATCATAATTCATACATAGCATTGTGCTTCGTTTCATATCACGCAGATCGTTTCATATCACGCAGATACGCACCTTCAATCTAAGTAATATGCCGCGAAGAATCAACACTTGAAGTTCCAGAAAAGTATAAAACACAAGAGAAGAAGACGGCAGAGAGAATGGAGAAGAACCAGAAAAGTAGACAAACAAAGAAGAAGACGGCAGAGTCGCAGACGCCAGAGAGAATGGAGAAGAGGAGAATTTGTCAATTTGAGATACCCTAATCGAACTGGGCATTTTGCTTTGTCTGTAAATGTAAAATTACAAAGCTACCCCATTCTTTATACTAAGAATAATACTTTGGGTACTAATGGATGGGTACTAATTTGTGTACTAACTAAAGCATAGTATCCGTACTATGCATAGTACGGATACTATGCTTTAGTTAGTATACAAATTAGTACCCATCCATTAGTACCCATAGCATCACTCTTATACTAATTTCTAACATTGCCACTATAGTGAAATAGGCATGTGGTTAGGACATACTTAAGGTTTGACAAAAGAACATTGAAATCCATTATTTTCGAAAAGTGACGCTTACGCCCTTTGAAGGTTAAAATGGACTTTTCATCTTGAATTTCCGATTTCTGGTGGGTTTGACCGCTCTTTTACAGTGGTTTTTAATCTTTATAATTTGAGTTTTATCGGTTGCGTAGATTCATAATATGAGAGTAAAATAGTCTTTAAAATTTAGTTGGAAAATTGCACGTGTTCTAATTGCGTCAACATGGCATTTTGTGGTTGGACAATTAAATATTCATTTATTTTCAATATTTGTTCAAAATCATAGTGTACATGCAAGTTCTAAGGACTAAATTTGTGCAATTATGATTAATCGGAAACACATACACTCATTTCAAACAAACATTTTGGTGAAATATAAGAAATATTTAACATGTATATAAGCCTGTGAAGTTCCAATTTCCAAATCAAGAGCATGCCCTTGATCAACCCATGTAGGGCAATTGCAGGAGAAAGGAAACCAGAGCGAGAAAAAATCATGTTTTACAAACAAAGTGACAAAAACTTGAATGTCTGTCCTGACATAGATAGAACATGATTCTCTCCTCATACAAGCTTAGTCAGTGTTGTTTGGTTCGTAGTTTTAAACAGAAATAGAAGAAGATGGATGACGATCGCTCAAATCAGGAGAGAATCTAATAATTATATAGTCAAAGAACCATCCATCACCACGAAAACTGCTACCATCTTTGAAATAAATGAGCTTGCATTGTGAATTTGAAGACTATTTAGTGTAAACCTTGTTAAATACTCCCATGAAATAGAGAAACTCTTCTTAGGATGAGTGCATGGATATCCATCTAATCATTGCTCGCATCCAATAGTGTGTCGATGTGGTATATTGTGGTTGAACTAGTGTTTTAAAACTGGTTCAGCCCGGTCAGTTGAACTGGTTCACCTAGGACCCAAGGCTTTCACTAGGTCGGATTATCCATTTCACTATTTATCGAAAACCCTAGATTTTGGGATGATGATCGGCAAACAATTGAAGGTTGGGATATTAGGGCTTTCGAAGAGAAAGTGTCAATGAGTGAAATGGTGGTAATAAAGTTGATTTTTGGTGAGTGAATTGACCGAAAATCGGAAAAACAGGCGACGGTAACAACCGGTTTTTGCTGACGATTGGCAAGGCTGACGGAGGTGGGGTGAGGTGGGTTTTGGTTAGGAGGCTGAGGGAAGTCTTTTCATGGTGATGAGGAGGGTTGTTGACACCGGCGATGGTGAGATCTGACCTAGAATGTCGACGTTGATGTTAGTGAAATATGGCTGAAATTGAACCAATTTCTACCAGATATTAGGTATATTTTCTGGGGAATGGGCTCAAGAGATGATTGAGATTGCATTTGGTGTGTCGCTGCCGCTAATCAATCGACCACCGATTTGTATTTGGAGAGTGTTTGCTAAATTTCAAACCTGTAGGGACTTAATGAATTTTTTGGTGTGTATTTGTTAAATTTAAAAAAATTTGTCACCCGGTTTGACCAACAGGTCAAACCAGTTAAATCGGTCAACCTGGGACTTGAAAACTTTACCGGGTTTCACCGCTGGTTGGTTATTACAACATTGGGTTGAACATTTGAATATACGTTCATCTTCAATATTTGTTCAATAACAGTGAAACAAGCGAGTCCCAATGTCCCATGGACCAATTTGGTGCATTCTGATTGATCGGAGTCATAAATACTCACTTTAAACAAGCATTTTTGTGAAATATAAGAAATATTTAACATATATATTCTGCTAATAAGCCTGTGAAGTTCCAATTTTCAAATCAGGAGCATCACCCTGATCAACCCATGTAGGACATTTGCAGGAGAGACGAAACCAAAACGGGCAAAAATCATGGTGACAAGCAATGTTGACACATGATTCTCTCCTCATAGAGCTTGGTCAGTGTTTTTGGTTCCAAGATTTTGAAAACAAATAGAAGACGATAGATAAACAACGCTCGAATCAGGAGAGAATCCTGCAATTATCTAATCAAAGAACCATGACAATGAAAATTGAAAATTGAAAATTGCTACCATCTTCGACAAAAATAAGCTTGTACTGTATATCAATTCATTTCAATAGTCCAGATACACTTATAATTTGCTTAAATGAGGAAGATAAGAATATACAGATAGCAACTTAAACAACCATTTCAGCTTCTTTAACACTGGACGGGATTCCGATATCTAACCTCATCGTTGACTTGTATTGATCCGGCACAGCTGCACCAGCCTGCACACAGATTTCCACCACAGCAGGAGCTTGACCGTAGAAGCTCCTCAACTCCCGTTGCAATGGTGGTCCATTGACATCGGGGACATGCCAGACATATCTTGGTGGTATCAAGTCATCAAGAACTGCTGCTTGCCAACCATGTTGGCCATTCCGTTGCTGGTGCTTGAACGCCCCACAGTTCTGTGCCTTGTGCCCAGAAGGTCCAACGTGCACCTCTGGGCAATATCCACAAACCCTCACGTGGTACATCTTCATCAGCTTCAGGGCTCCCGTCCTCATCTTTCCCCATGCTTGGAGTGTTTCCTCTGCAAGCAAGACTATCTCTTCTTTATCAGATGGAGCAACTATTTCTGAATCAGGAATTTCAGTTAATATTGGTTTCAAGGGAACTGGTGGACCAGGATCTGGCAGTTCACTTTCATCAGCGTCAACAAATTCTCGTTTTGCTATGCGAATGATCGGCTTTCTTCTCCTTTTTGTGGGAAATTCTGGAATATCTACACCAGCTTGGATGCAAAGCTCAGTCACTGCTGGAATTCTGGGAATTGTGAACCTCTCATCATGACGAATACGATTTTGTAAACGGTCAAAAAGGTGGTATGCTTCAACTGGTAAGAGTACATCTTCAAGGGCTGCACTCGTCCACTCATGAAGACCCTTCCGCAGTGAAGCATTTGGGCCTCTGCATGACTTGAAAGGATGACCAACAGGTCCCACATGGATTTCAGTACAGGATCTGCAGCACAGGAGTAATTAGCTTCCTAGATTTTTCCAATGTTTTGAATTTGGGTAAGCCAAAAATGTAAAAAGATGAAATTGATGACAAAGATGAAAGAAATTACACGCAAGCATGCACAGGCACCACTTTCAAGAGCTTCTTGAGATTATTAATCAGTGTAATCCTTGCATTTAGCACATCATAAGCAACTGGTATAAGGTGTTTAACAAGCAACCCTCTTTTTGGAGGTGGAATGGGTCTTCTGGGTTGGTTATTCCGATTTTTGGTCCTCTCTCTAGCTCTTCGCCTCAGCTCCAGTACAGGAACTGGAAATGGCTTCTTTTCCCTCTTTGAGTAGTGCCGAGGGAAATCTGCATTTTGTGGATGATCGCTTCTAACAACCAAGGCACGTGATTGATGCAACTTTTTTGATGGAACTCCAGACTTTATTTGAAGCTGTAGTTTACTGCTATTATGCTGTAAGAAAAAATTAATTGAAATTAAAATATATGAAATGTAGAAAGAATAAAGGAATTACAAAACCAGAGATAAACATGTCAAATTTGGACTCCAGAAGCAGCAATGAATATAGACAATCATCCCATGCCCAATTCAGCAATACAATCCGATCCACTTGAAAGTTTCATCATCTACAAAGTAATCTTATTATTTCTCATACTGAATTAAAACTAGGTGAGAACAAATGGATCAAAATTTCAAAATCGCAAACCTCAACACAAAAAATAAAATTTTCCTTTTCAGTTTTATTTTCTCTTTTAATTATATCTGTTTTTTTATGTTCACTCTATGCATTGCAATAATGATGCAACTTGTATAAAAGCACGTTTCGAGCAACCTTGCCTACAGCAACAAAACCACCAGCCGGACTGAAATCCAAACATCAAGGATATTGCAAATCCTACTTGGTGGAGGCCAGTTAGAGACAGTATAAAATGAAGTAAAACTGTTCTTGTTCATGGTTGAACAAATAGCCAATATTAGGGCATTGTTATTAAATTTCACAGAATCCAACTTAGTAGTTAGTTCCTCAGCAGTCTCATTGGTTTTCTCTTAACCCCTAAAACTCCTGTGTTAAAAATATTCAGCATAACACTGTCAGAACTTGCTGGAAATAGAGTTCCATTCAGTGAGGTGCCATTTATGCAACCTTCATAAACAGCCCCATGGATGCAAGTTATTGTTCTCAAATCCCAACGGTAGATCCATCCATCACTTCCAGAAGTCAATAATTGCTGGCTATCATTGGCAAAAGGTAAAGAATGAACAATTCCATTCATCTTGAGAGTTCCAATAAACTGTTTTAGATGAAACTAACGATTTACAATCTTCATTTCCTACAAACGTAATCATACTAGAATCAGGGAAAACTTCAAAAACTTCCAAGCTTTTCTCCTCCCAACCAACCAGGGGGCCAATTTTATCTACCTTAATTCACTAAATCAATTCTATAAAAGAACTTTCTTCTTCCAGCTAGTAGCTACTACAACCTGAGAAGCATTAATAAAGACGCCTTCCAAACTGCACAATCCTCAAGGAAAATGCTTTATATTTTGGTATCCCATTTGCCATCAACTTGAAAAAATCTCAGCCTTCAATCCAATCCAGCAACAAGAAGCAGCCCAGCATTAGAAAATGCAATAGAACTGAATTTATTGGACCATTTTCTCACAACAAAAAATCATCATTTGTTCTAAAAATATCATAAACAGCTTCACCAACCTCTTCAAAACATATAATGTCCACAAATAATTCTCTAAGAAGATATAAGTTCAAGTTAAATTATTAACAAGCAATGCCAAGGAGTTAATACAATTAACAATCATCTAACAAAAAATGAACCCGGATAAACAAAACTTAGTTACTAATAGAAAGATCAAAAGCAAGCTAAATTAAGCGAAACATGACTAATAAAATAAGCTACGAAGTTCGAAACTTTGCATACCTTTAAAGAATCGAGTGAACTAAGGCCTGGGTTAAGGTTAACTCTGTGAGGAAAAAAGACTGCAACTTTACCACTTAAGAACACAGCCATTTGCCCAAATGGAAACTTTCAGCCGGAGAGAAACAGACAGAGAGATTCTGGCATTGAGCTGAAGAGAAAGTTTGAGACCTTTTGTTGAGATTTTACAGGGGTTCCGACCTCCATTGAATTAGATAGTGCAAAAGAGTAAGAACAAGAAGATAATTCACGGGGTATTCATGGGCCGCCCCTAGAAGGTGAGTAATGGGCCAGAATAGCCCAAACTGGCCCAACTAGGCCCGAATCAGAATTTCCCAGTAATTCATCTCATTCATCTAAAACCTTTTGATGATAACCAGACCTTTAAACTCAGTTCATCATAAAATCTTTCATGTAAACCAAGAATTAACCTCTCCTTACATAATTTCTTTAAGTCTTGCATTAATGCCTTTGTATCTTTATTATTTAACTTTCCCCTTTTTCTTTCAAAGCAATATAAATGCACTCCACGTACAGAAATTTCAAACACAAAAATATTATATATATATATATATATATCTAATCAAATCTTAATAATAAGAATGTTTTCATCTAATATTCAGAAGACAAGTATAATCTATTGTACACTTAACTTCAAAGTAGAATGTTCTAGGTTTTAAAGCAGTAAGTCTAAAATGCATTATTCTATCATGCTTTAGTTCAAGCGTGAAGTTACAATATTTATGACTTTCAGGGGTGCCTGGAGATCTCTCTTCGTAAACATCAAATTCCTCCTTGGTCTCGTCAAAGAAGGAGTTTGTCGTGCAATCGTATTTGAACCCTGCAAGAAGTATGAACAGTAACAGATTTATACGTTAGAGAAAAGAATGTATATATATAAACTAAAGCCATAACATTTTTAACATATAGATCAAAGATGCGCGTCAGATCGCTCACTTCCGAGACTCTACAATTAAAAATTTCAAAACGCTTGCATTGAATTTTATATATATATATAGTTTTGTGATGGGAAATTACAAAGGCGTTCGTGGCCTTTGAGTTTGATTTTCTTCTTCCATGAACATTGCTTGAGTTCGAAATCAATGTTGCTCTCTGGCCAACTCCAAGATTCATTGAAAGAATGACTACTAGAGTCTCCAACCATAAGGTCTTCCTTTTCACTAAAGGGTCTGGCTTCAGAGAAGATGAATAAGAAGAAAGTGAGGGTTAAAATTGCAGTTGAAGTTCTCAGAACGGCCATGATTACTTCTTCTTTAGTAGAAGCAAAGAAATTGATGAAGATGATTGTGACAAGAAAAAAATACTCTACGAGGAATGAGAGTTTTGCATATCATATTGTTAGATTCGGTATTTTAACCTAATTTGATTAGAGTTTCAGTACTACTGAAAGGCTAATTTCTCGGGTTCTGATGTGCATACTATTAGATAATACAAATCCTAATAGAAAAAGAGTAAAAAAAAAAAAAAAAATTGATTCAAATAAAACTTGTAGAATTATATCAAAAAAACTGGAAACTTCAATTCAAATTAATAAAGGTGGAATACTAATTAACAAGAATTAATCACATTCATGACTGATTAGTGTAAACTTAAACTCATTAAGAATTTGCTCGGCAAATGGGCTTTTGCCACGTGGTATTAATTTACTAAAACCTAACCAAATAGTAGAGCTAGTTACATATCACACAAACTTAAACGTAAACCGTTCTATTCATTCAATGTCTGTTGCTTCTAAACTTGATCAATTATGGCTTCATTGAAAACTTCAACTTAAAATTCAAAGAATTTGTGTGGAATTTACGAATTCATGGACAGATTCCTCTAAAACTTGTGTTCTTGATGGGGCATCCAAGGAACTCGAATTCATAGTTGGCGTTTCTCTCAGTAATTTAATCCTATATCAAAATCATGCAAATAAACAAAAATTCTTTAATCAGGATTGTATGTCTGGGAAAATAGGGCCGACGTGGGAAAGTCACGTGAAGGGTGACCTGCTCCCGTCAGAGCAACACGCACACGTCAGACCTGCCAAAAGATATGGAGCCACACGCGTCCATTTCCCTACAATAAATCGTGCAAAGTCAGCTTGGGAAGGGGGAAATGGGACGTAAAGCCGGATTATATTCTGACAATCACACCAACTCATGGATTTAATGATATTACACTTCAGTTTGATATAAAATGAAGAAAACCCCTTCATTAAGGGGATTCGGCCCTTTTTACATTGAGAAAAACTCTCTCTCTCCTGTAAACACATTTATTTTTCCAACTCGTGAAGTCAGTCCGCGTGTGCGACCTGACCCACACTAATATCAATACAAATCAGTGGACGTAGGACTTGCTACCTTAGCATCCGAACCACTTAAAAAACTCCCTTTGCATTATTTTCGCTTTATATATTCATTTTCACGTGTATTTAACAGCCAATTAACATTACGCACGTGACAATAGTTGGTGCCAAAATCCAGCATCAACAGTTTGGCGCTAGAAGGAGGGCCTGATTAGTGTCTACCCTTCATCAGGAGAATCTTTGACCTACTTGTCTTACAGCAACAAATGGCTCGTCAATCTAAACCTGAGCAGGTCAAACCAGTAGCTGAAGGAGTCCCCCCAGCCCAGAGGGACACCCCTTCCAACATACCTCCAGTTTCGCAAAATGCTGCTGGGAATACCCCAGCAGCTCCGCAACTGGACCCTGCCATCAGAAGCTACCTGGAGAGGTTCGACAATACTCTCCAGACGGTCAACCAGAGGTTGGACCGTTTGGACCAGGGCATGTCATCTACGACAGCCGGAGCAGTACACTGCAGCGCGTAAGCGCAAGGGTAAGCAAGTGGCAAAAAGCAAGCCTACGGGCTCCCAAGGGCCAGCGAATACGAAAGGCGCCCCGAGCAGGGTGTCGGCAAAGCTGAGACTCTGTGAAAAAGTGAATCCCGAGCTGTCCCATGCCACGTCGCAGGCAAACCCAAGCAAAAATGCTGGGCACGGTGGTTCCTATCACCACCAGCAGAGCGATCCCGATTGTTATGCGGGTGGCCCCCACACCTCGCGGGGCGGTTCGTACCACCGCGAGGGTCGTGAAAATGTCTCGCACAATCCATCGCCTTCACACGCCTCTAGTCAGCGTGTGTCAAGCGCGGCTGGAAATACCGGCCGAGGCGAGGAGGAATCCGACCTCCGAACTCTCCTGAACCGCAACTGAGAAGGCCGGGCTCGCATGGGTGAAAGCAAACCCCAATTGGCCCCGTTACCACAAATTGAGGAGCTGCAGCGGGCTCTGGACAGGTTAAGGGAGCAGCAAAACGAACAGGCGCAGGTCGCCTCTACATCCCCTTTTTCACCCGAAGTGTTAGCTGCTCCACTTCCACCAGGGTTCAGAATGCCAGATATGCGGCCGTTCGATGGAAACTATGATCCGCAGGATCATTTATATGAGTTCAACGACCTAATGGAGCTCCACCAGGTTTCAGACCTTGCGAAATGCCGTTGTTTGGCCGTGACGCTGACTTCTCACGCCAAACGGTGGCTATGGTCGCTCCCAGCAGGATCGATCAGTTCGTGGCCTCAGATGAGCACGACGTTCCTGCGACACTTCCAAGCCAATCGGAAGTTTTCAATGCCTTTGAGCTACCTCAGCAACATAAGGCAAGAAAGAGATGAATCCCTACAGTCTTACATTGATCGCTTCCACAGGGAACTCAACAAAGTGGCTCACGGCCCAGAAGAGTCCATCCGAACTCTTATAATAGCTGGAGTTCGCCCGCAAACCGACCTGTGGAAAGAACTGCAGGCTGAGGACGATATTTCCCTCACCAGATTCTATAACCTGGTAGAAAAGTATCTTCGAATAGAGAATTCGCTGGTGGCACTCCGCCGTCGCGATCACCGCACTTCCAGCAGTATGCCTGGTCGGGGAGATAATAGGTGAGCTGATTGCAAAGGAGACACTAACGATCAGCGAAAAGGGAAGAAACCCCGCTACGAGCAGAAAAAGTCCTATGCCCTTGTTCCTCGTCGCGACCGCGACGGGGCTTAATACACTCCGTCGAATGTGTCCATATCTGCAATCCTCGATAAATCCGAGGAGGCCAGCCTGCTCAGTGAGCCCGAACCCATGAAAACCCCTGCTACGGCCAGAAACAGCAAAAAATACTACCGTTACCATCGGGATAATGGGCATCTCACTGATGAATGCCGAGCTCTAAAGCAGGCTATCGAAGAGCTTATCAAGAAGGGGCACTTCAAGGAGTACATTGATGACTCCCCAAAAGAAAACCAAGGGGAGCGAAAGAAAAAGCGCCGTGATTGCAGCGGGTACGATAGTGTTAACATAATTTTTGGAGGTCCGCACCTCGCGGGAAACACGCGAGGAGCGCAGGAAAGATATGCTCGCGAAGCGCACCATGACCCGATCAGGGTAATGAACACTTCGCAGCGACCTCAAAAAGCCAAAAAAGAAGGGCGATGGATCCGGAGCAGTACGCCACATTGAAATCAGAAGTGGAGAACCTTCTCCGAAATGGATCTGTTCGCGAGGCTCTCTACCCGACCTGGGTTGCTAACCCGGTCCTGGTAAAGAAGCCAAATGGCAAGTGGCGGACCTGCGTAGACTTCAGCGACCTGAACAAAGCTTGCCCGAAAGACAGCTTCCCCCTGCCAAGAATCGACCAGCTCGTTGATGCCACCTCGGGGCACGAGCTGTTAAGCTTCATGGATGCATACTCGGGATACAATCAAATCCCGATGTATAAGCCAGATGAGGAGCATACGACCTTCATTACGGACCGGGGGCTGTACGGTTACAAAGTCATGCCCTTCGGCCTCAAGAATGCGGGAGCGACCTATCAGAGGTTGGTCAACCGAATGTTCTCCGACCAGATTGGGAGGACAATGGAGGTCTATGTGGACGACATGCTGGTCAAATCCCAGGTCGCCTCAGAGCATATTACGCATCTCGCTGAGATGTTTGACATACTCCGGCTCTACAGAATGAAGCTGAACCCTCTCAAATGTTCATTCGGGGTATCGTCAGGAAAGTTCCTGGGATATATGGTCAATCAGCGGGGCATAGAAGTAAACCCCGAAAAGATTCAAGCTCTGCTCGATATGGAGAGCCCGACCAGCAAAAAGCAGGTCATGAGTCTGAACGGGCGAATAGCGGCACTTAGTCGCTTCATATCAAGGCTAACA